ACAGGAAAGTTCAAGAGAACACGGCAGGAGGACTAAGGTGTTTTTAGACAGCAGCAGGGTTTGCTGTGAAGATGAACAAGGGACATGTCAGACCACTGGAGCAGACAGGTGATACAAGGCCTTTGTGAGCAGTCACACCTGCAAAAAAAGGCCTGATGTGCACCACTCAGCAAGGACTTTTGAAAACTGAAACTGTAATTTTACAAGGGTGAGCAGTATCTTTGTCATATAGCTGTAAAGCTATAATCTGTAGCAAGATGATTAATTTTAAAAAGGATGATCACAGCAAAAATTCAACTGCCTTTAGAAAAGATGAGCTTGTATTCCAAGGTGTTTTCTTTCCCTCCATGTCATCCAGGGGACAAAACTCACAATTGTGAGAATTCAGCCTTAGCACACTGAACTGGTTCCTAAGCTACAGGAGGGATTATGTTGACTTGACTGCTGGAGATGCAGAAACAACTGCAGTAAGTGTTCATAAAACCAAAATGCAGCTCAGCAACTCACCATCACTTCCTTAATTTTGCCCCAGTATAAAGTCAGTTAAGTACTGCACAGAAATGGAGAAGTTCTGCGTTGGGGTTGGCTGCTGACCCTGACAAAGGAATGAAGCAGAAGCTGCAATACACAGGACACCTGCTTCCCTTCCTTACCTTGAAATTAAACTCTGTGACTCATCACAACAGAGAGGAAAGGAAGGATGATATTTCCTTCTTCCTCTCCCCTCCTGGTCTCTCTGGCCCACCACTTGCATCCAAAGAGTTGGGAAGAGGTTTACTGAGAAGCTGCAGCAAGTCAGGTAACCTGTCTGTCAATTTCTGCCTGAATTGCTTTTCTTCTTGGCTGTAAACAGGTTTTAAGCATCTACTAGTGACTCAGTCTGCTACACAGCAGTATTACTAACACCACCACCGTCATCATCATGATTTGACAGTAACAGAGGACATTCTGTGTCCTTCCCACTGCTTAATGATCACGTCTCAATCCTTTCAAAATGTAGCAAATTCTACCTTTGCTAGTTCACAGATACAAGTAACAGAATATTCAAAACAGGTTGTATTCAAAACAGGTTGTGTTCAAAACAGGTGTTTGCAAATGAATGAATGTGCAGATAATGGCTATTAAGACAACCAGAAGAAAGGAGGGAAGAGAAGTTGATTACAAAACTGATGACAGTCCTCCTTTCAAAGGAGGAAAAGGTGGATTGATGCTAAGTGATAAACACAAAGGAGGAAATCCCAAAGGCTAGTTTGGTACAAGGAGCTTTTGAAAGTTTGACCTGGAAGCTAAAAGTTCCTTGCAAGTGAGATTGCAGAACTGCCTACCGGTTGGTGGAAGACTATTTTTAAGAGGAAGGCTGATGAAGGAGGAATGGATGCCACACTGACTGTGACAGTAAGTGCACCAAGAGCCTCCTTCAGCCCCATGTCAGAACCACCCAGGTGGGGATGCCTCATTGCAGCCCTCGCAGTGCCAGGCAGGAGACACTCAAGCCAGCTACATGGGAAAAGAGAAAACAACACCAACAATGCCACTGAGCTCCACCTTGCACTCTGCCCACTTGCCAACTTTCCCTAGTGCTACAACAATTACTGCAAAAAAAAAAAAAAAAAAACCAACCCAAAGTAAGCAAAATAAAAAAACAAGAACAACTCTAGAATTTTTTACTCTTCAGAAATCAAGCCAGCATTTCTTCCTTAGCTACTACAAAAAACCCTTCTAGCGAGCATCAATTCATATCCCTTTTCTAAAAACTGTTCTAATCATTCCTCACTGACATCTTTGTGTATAATACTAACATTCAATCATTGATGAAGGCAATTTTTAACCCTAAAATACAAGCTATGCTGTACGTATGCTCTGTACAAAATTCATCTAAGATGAGCCTGTATTCAAAGAGGTTCCAGCCTAATTGAACAAAGTATCAATACACAAATGCTCTCCCTGAGTGCACTGCATGCTCAGCTTGACCTCCTGCTGCCCTCAAGGCTCTGTTCCAGATGGCTGCTGCCAAGCTTCATCCCCATCTCCGTGCCTCCCCCTCTGAGCATTAGTAGGTTCACAGCAGAAAAAGAAATTCAAACAATGCTTACACTCAAAAGGTTACTCAAAATTACCTGTAATCTCAGTGTGACAGAGCCTTACAAGCTGTTAAAAGTTCCTCTCTCCTGCTTAGAAACAGCCCCAGATGAGCAAACGGTCTTGGCACCCTCACGTTTTGGGGTCCCTTCAGAGAGACAGCTCACACACAGAAAAGCTCGTGTCAGAAGGAGATGCTGAGTCGGTTCACAATGCACAGGGAACCACAGGGCCCAGGGACCAGCATGAAGAGTCACTGCAGCAGCCCAGAAGCAAAACCACAGCATCCGAGAATGCTGCAACTCTTCCAAAGCAAGTCCTCAGATCCAAATGCTGCAAACAGGCTGTACTAACATCCCAGCTCAGAGAGCTTTATCACTCTTTCCTGATGCCCTCTGTGCCACTTCCTGATTCTGTTACTCCTCCTCCCCATCCAGCAGCCCAGCCATGGGGGATGCTCTTACACAGGGAGAGGGCAAACACATCTCCTTTTGCTGAGCCCTCACCTCCTTTGTCACAGCTTTCCCTGTCACACACCTGTGATACATTATTTCCACTGCAAATTCTTACTGTTACTTTTAGTCACACAAAGGACACAGGAGAGACAGTGATGCTCACAAGATCTTACGCCTGTATTTTATCTCCTAATCACTGATGCAGCAACCCTGTGAAGAAAATGCTATTTCTGATCTATGACTGTTTCTCTCTCTTTTCATTTCAGACTTGCCAACTTCTTAAACTGTGTGTGGCCTCTGAGCAGCATCAAGAGGCTATGGAACACTCCATGGATATACTCTTTATTCCAAGAGCAATAATTTAGGTCTGTCAGTTAAGGGTGGGATCTGCAGAGACAATTTAAGCTGTGCACAGCAGACAACTGAGAACTTACTTTATCACTAGTGGAACATTATCAACTGTGAAATGGCAACTGCAATAAAAACTGCCTGTCACTTTAAGTCTTACAGGCTAATTTAATCCTTCATTTAGTACTTGCACTGCTGCAAGGGTATTCTGAGGCCATGGGAAAATTCCTGAAGCATGCAGGATCACTGCCTATGGTGCCCCTCCTGCCTGGCAGAGGCTGGCAGGAGCCTGCAGGGTGCTGGACGTGCTGGTGTCCTCCAGGAGCCTGATGGGAGCAAATGCCTGGGGCAGGGCTGGGGTGGCTCCTGCCCTCCCACAGTTTGAGGCCCAGGAGGCAAATGGCTCCTTCCAAAACTGCTGGGCTGCCTGTGCTGGGCTTTCCAGGAGGAGGAGTAGCAAACAACAAGAAGCACCTTAACCTCAGGAACATCATGTGTCTCAAGACAGGAGAGGTTGGCACACACACTCTTTCTGTGTCCCCACAGCCCATGTCAGCCCTGTGCTGCCATGGCTTGTGAGAGAGAAAAGCTCACATATGGAAAATCAACTCATGTGTCTGCTTTTTACAGCCTAAAAATGCAGAGAGCCGAATTTGATTCTCTATTTCAATTTCTTTCAAATTCCTAAATCCAGGAGAGACTGCATGCAGAAGTAAGTTAGGGGCTGGTTGGGAAATTGATAGATTTACAGGGGCTTATAATAGCTCAGCCCAAAACCAGCCTTGTATCCAATACATACACACACAAGTGTATGTGCATGTCCACACAAATCCCACACCATACACTATTACCTTTTTTTTCATCCTGTAGTATCAGCTTGTCTTCCTTTAAACCTGTGCTTGATCCTTCAATTTTTTCATCTTTATGCATCCTGGCAGCCTCAGAAGCATGCACTGAGTACTCAAGGAGAATACAGAAGATTGATTTTGCTCACTGTTCAAGTATGATTTCACAGAAATGTGTCCTAAACTGCCATAATCCAGCACCTTCCTTTTTATTAGTGACAAGGCAAAGTATGTACTTTTACTACCTGAATAAAACTTTTATGCTCGTGTATGTGTTCATACTACTCTTCAAAAGATGCAGAGTCTGAACCTCCTCTGGCTTGTTGGGCTGAGAGGTTACATGAGCTTCTACAGGCATCTGTGCTCACTGAAACCCTGATTTTGTGACACAATTTTGCTTGTGTTGCAAGGCCAGAGCAAACACACCACTTCTCCCCAAAATAATGGCAGTATTTCCCCCTATCCTGCCCAAATGAAGTTACACCAGCAGAGGCTCCAGCACTTTGCCACCCTGCTCACACCACATTTCTTCCTTACACTTCAGATGTAGTTTTCCAGTCAAACTCTGTTTCCATTTGCTGGAGTTCAGTATTTTTCTTTAGCATTTTAAATTCATGCTTGTGAAAACAGCAACTATGCTCACTTGAAAATCAAACTGGAATGAACACACGTGCATATAGAAATACTGACAAAACAAGTTTCTGCTCATCTACATGACACATGTTTTCTCTAATGCTTGTTTTTATTCTTCTGAACAGGAGTCTCCTGAATGTCTTCTCTTTTCAAAAAAGCAGAAAGAGTGCATTTGTTTGATCCACCCCAATCATTTTTGATTCTGGAGATCTGGAATCATTGTGCTTGTGATTACTCTGCCAAATCACTCATCTCTTCTGTGGTACAACTCAGTGCAGCAGCAGGATATGACAAAGGAGAGCAGAGTGCAGGAGCACTGTCACCTCTCTCATATGCTCTGCCTTTGTATCATCACCATCTTAAGCCCTTTCCACCCAGGGCTCTAAACAGGTTCTTGCTAAGCCAAAAGTGAGACAGCTGCTTTCACAATGGATACTGTGGCTCCCATCAGATGCAGGAGGTTTTTGGGAAAAAATCTACTTAAAACACTCCTATTTTTTTAAAGTAGGAGTATTGCAAAAACAGGAAGTAGCCCCTGAAAAATTACGTTCTCCAGGAGTTAGAGAAGTTTTCTCAAGCCTTCTTATTTTGTTGAAGCAGCCTGCTCGTTCAACTATGCAAACAAGTTAAAAGGTCATACCTGGGTAAGCAGATGATGGGATGCTGAGTCTGACTGTTAAACAAGGGAAACCCTCTGTTCCTACAAAGAAACAGAAAAATATGCTCACTAGTTTCTATGCAGCAAATTTAGCATAAACTCAACATTGTAAGGGACTATAAAATGTCCTTACATCTTATGTGTACATTTCTGTCTGAGCCTTTTTCTCCCAGCTTTATTTCCCAAGATTCATTAATTGAGATTCCCTGTTAGTCCAGCCTGCTTTGGGACCACCAAGGAGCTGCTTACTCCTCAGGCCAGCGCTAAAAAAAGCTGGCACTGACTCCAAAAACCTGTCCATCAGGGAAGAGAAATGGAGCACAGCATAATTCCAGCCAGACTCCCTCTAGACTGGGAGAACTCTCAGAGCTGCTCTATGCAGAGACTCTACTGCAGGGCAATCCCAAGCAGGAATGGGGAAAGTGGAGGAAAATGGTTCCTGAGATACACAGAAAGTAATGGAAGAAGAGCAAGAGTCCCTCACTGACTTCCCAGTATGACACTTCAAAACAGATGAAGATACCAAGGCAGGGAACTACTACGATTTCTTCTTTAAACTGTTTTTCTTGCCCAAGTTGTAGCAGAGGGTCTTAAGTTTAGCTGGGATAAGTAACAAAAGTTACCACAGATGTTAGTGCCCTTTTTGTGACCCTTTTAATCAGAGAGAAATGCCTGGGCAGTAAATGTAGTTAGCTTGCTGAAACAGCTTCTGCATGCCCCACCGTCCATCCTCTCTCCTTTCTCTAGGTCTTTGACCAGAGGACACTGGGGAAATCATTCCAGGTGCAAGCAGCAGACAGAAACCCAAGTGTCTCCCATCAGGGTGAAAGGGATCTCCTCACCACATGTCCTTGAGTATCCCCAAGCATTATGAAGCCAGCTAGTACTGTCACATATATTTAAAGCTGCAGCTTCTCATGGCCAAGACACTTGTAAATTTTTTTACTTTAGTTGTTCAGAAATTAATTCCCTGTATAGGGTATCTGACTCAAGATCATGCTTTTGTTTGAGAGTTCACTGTTTTAAAGCTTCAGCAAGAATAGGTCAGGCATTGCCAGGAGCTAGAGTAGTAAGAAACATATAACTAAACCAAATTAAAAAGAACGAATTAGGGTAATGACAAAAAGTAAGAGGAGTAAGAGGTAAGTGTGAAATCAGAGAGAATCACAATGCATACTCACAAAGGCAACTAACCTTAAGCTAGAGAGCAGTTCAGGTTCTTTTTATTTCCTGGACTATCATCCTTTGTCTCTGAATTAGTTACCTTGGCTGTACCACATCACTGGCATGGGGTTGTGCTAACTACAGCTTTCCATCAGCTTGCCCAGTTAACATCCAAAAGAACAGAAAGATTTTGCTGCCCGGAAGAGGGAAGGTTTCATATGGTTCTGACAGCAAATAAATGAAAAATTTGAAACTGAATAAATTCCACCTTACTGCAGAGGTTGCCAGCTGAGTGCACCACTCATTTACAAGCAATAATTAGTTACAGTAAACGAGCTATGAGGAACTCAGGCTCAAGCCAGCATCAACTCCACCAATCCACAGGACAAAGATGAATGTTAAAATAAGCTAATTAAATTTTCCCTGGCTCAGCAGAAAGATCAATGTTCTTGACAGTTGAGGATTGAGCACGTGGCATCCCAACAGCCCTCTGATGGGCCACCACTGCCACATAGCCAGAACCAGAGGAGGTGGAATACTCCTCTGGGGAGGGGCAAGGAGACAGAGGCACTCTACAGGGACATTAACAGAAGGAAGGAGACACCTGCTACTTGTATGCCAGATGGTCAGATTTTTACCAAAAACAAACTTGGCTTTGCACTTTCATTATCTATTCTACCACCATTAAATACGTGTCCCAGTAGCCTGCCGAAAGTTCACTGCAATAAATGTGATTTTAGCCACCAGCAGAATACCAAAAATACCAGACAATCAAAATACAGATGCCAGAAATGGGCAGCATTTTTGCTGCCCCACAAATTTGCTGTGTTCAGGCTGCTATCACCATTTCCACTCTCTTGCTGAGGAAGAGGGAAGGGAAGAAAATGAGATGATTCAAAGGTTCTTCTGCTGGAGAACAGAAGAGACACCCACCCACACAGAGATGGCCACAATTACATGTTTAGGGCATTTAAACAAAAAGCAAGAAGTTAACATTTAAGCGCCAGGTCAGAATGTGGCACCAGATATATCAATGGGGTTTTCCACTTCCTGTAAGCACATTCTAATAATCACAGTGCAGAATATATTAGGAAGGGTTTCTTTTTGTTTGTATTTCTCCCAAACCCTGTTGCTTAAGACAGAAATCCAGAAGAACCTGTCCCAATAAGGAATTACTTGAAACTGAAACTGGCAGTGTTTTTAGAAAAGCTCTGTGCTCAGATGAAGGGACATGCTGGTTTATTGATGCCCTAGAGCCAGGGTGGCAGGGGATGGCACTTTGTCTGCTTCAAGTGACACTTCCCACAAGGGACAAGGCACAAAACAGATGAGCTGGTTTTTTCACTCCTAACGAGAAGCTGTGATTAATATCGTCCATCTTGGATATGGAAACCCATGTCAGGACATGCGAGCTTATCACAATGAAGAAAACTTGAAGTCTTATCCACAAATACAGCCTGGTAAGTGCATTCAACACATTTTCTTCCACTGAAGTACATCAGACAGATTCTCTGTCGATGCAGACTAACAAAGGGCTGACAGCTCTAGGCTGGATGCACTGTGACCTAGCATCAAACAGTCAAGGAAACCTGCTCATTCTGGCTCTGCCATTTGTCTGTGGATCAAGCGTGCTACTTCCTCTGTTGTATCCAGTAGGGATTGCCTTTTCTTCTTTTTGGTAAACACTTTTACTTCTACCTACAAAAACTGATAGGAAAAATCCAGTGAGCATATACATACACATGCACAACAGAGGACTTAGGTTCTATTTTATGCACAAGGTATTTGTAATTATTCTTCATTAAAGTTACTCCTACTTCTCTTACAGAACTCTTAAAACCAACAGGATTGATAAATTCATACATTGTACTAATTTTAAAAAATAGATCTGTCTTTTTCAGGAGCTGCTTTCCTTTCTCATTTGAGGGTTTGTGTGTGCTCACATACTTCTGTATGACCTACCCAACAACACACATATTCTGCAGAATCACCTGCAATGAAAATTGTAAGGACTAAGTACATTCTTTTCCTAAGCTGTTCTACTTGTTCTCCTGAGAAAGGAGCTGTGCTGTTATCCTGAAGGGTCAGCCCATCCACCTGAGGCCCTGACTCTGCGTTGCAGAGATATCTAGACAGATATCTATTAGCTTCAGCAATCTGCCTGCAGAAATGCACATTTAAGGTTATTAACTCTTCAGTCTGGGAGCCTGCCTTTTGCTATATATACCTCAAGAGCAACATACACGCTATGATAAAAGCCTAAATTGCCACAAATTACTTTTCAGCATTTAGTGCTTTGCCCAATATTGCTGCAAATGGATCCAATCTATTAGCACCAAACCTTTTCCCACAGCTTCTTCCTTTTACACTCCACACTCTCCTCCTCCTTCCTACTTTCCGTGTACCCTATGCTTTCCCCTTGGCAGCAGAGGCTTAAAATAACAGACATTCTTCAGAGGGATGCAAAAAAACATATTCTGGTTATCTGCAGGGCAGAATTCACTACACATTTATTATTATTCAGTTTCCAAAGTGCTAGGAAATTAAGGTCAAATATATCTGAATTTCAGCTAGGGTTGATGCAGAGAGCAAATGTCTTTAAACCATGTCAGCTAAAGGAGGCAAAGGAGAGGCCAGGTTGTGCTGCTGTACATCACTGACCATCAGCAGAAGCCAGCAGCTTACCATGGCTGTAGATGTGGCCTGAAATTCAGGAAGTACTGCAGTAGATGTTGCCTCAACTTGACAGTCAAGACTCCAGAGTCACAGTGACTGAGGAAAAACCTGTACTGAGATTTTCACCACCAGTTTGAGCTGGCTTTGGGCAGCACATAACTTAGTACTTCCCTCACTCCTGGAACAGGTTGCTTCTGAAAGCCAGTTTAGCATGTTCCCTTTTGATCAAGCTGATTTATAAAAGCCTTAAATTATTCAAGAACAAGCAATGCTGATAGTACCATCACAAATTTATTTATTCCAAAAAGTACTGCACTGCATCTGCATTAAAATGGATTACTCCCAACACTTAATTCCCATTGCTTGTCTAGTGACTCATTTTCACTAAAACATCCACACCAAATCTTTCAACAGTTAAAAGAAAATTTTAAAACCCTGCAAAATGAGAAAGGTCTATTGTCATGGTTTGACCCGGAAGTAAGGGTTTGGGAAGTTTTCATAGGGAAAAACATACTGCCAGTCTAAGCAGCTCAGAGTCATGAAGGCAGAGGAGACAAAGCCTGGCATGGTCATGACTCTGAGTAGGAGAGACAGGGAAGACGAAAAGCTGTCTCAGCATCCAAGAATCTTGGCTAAGTGGAGCCTGAAATACACAGCAGACAGGAGACACTGTTCAATCATTTATAGAAATCAAGGTTAGCAGTGTCAGCACATTTGGCCTGAGAGGAAACAGTTCCCTGATCCTCTTGACGCAGAAGTAACTTGGCTGCATTAGTGGCTGCCACTAAGTAAGGATTAAAGAATGGAAACAGAGAAGGACAGGGATAGCAAAGGATAAAATGAGCATGCCAATATTTTCACAGCTTGCATTCAGCAGCCCAGCTAGCACCCCAAGGGTTTTTTTTTCAGGAATCTCAGAAACAACTGCTACATTTGATGGAAATATATGGTGTCTGGGTTTTACAAATGGTGTTTCTAATAGTTTATCTGATTTTGTAACTAGCAGGGAAGGAAATCGTTCTGATGACAATTACCACTGAGGCATTTTGTTGTGTTTACTGGCACAGAGCTGTCATTAACATTCCACTTCTCTTAACCACAGCTTACTTCCCCTGCAGTTATTGAAGATAGGTCTGGGGGCTGTTTTCCTGGTCTTGTCAAGTTGAATTTTAATACATACTGCCTGAAAGATGTACCACCTG